CTATTGTCCTGGCACATTAGTGGTGCCTCCTTTCACTCTTAAAAATACCCTGGTTTGGATGCTGTCTTAGCCTGGGTTCTCTAGAGGAGCAAAACCAAAGAAGCATACATACATACATACAGAGAGAAATTTACTTCAAGGAAATGGCTCATGCAGTTTGGGGGGGTCTGGTAAGTCCCAAATCTGTGGGTCAGGTGACAGGCTGAAGACCTTTGCTGGCTCATGGGGTTGCAGGGGCTGGTGAACCCAAAATTCGCAGGTCAGGCAGCAGGCTGAAGACCTTTGCTGGCTCATGGGGTTGCAGGGGCTGGTGAACCCAAAATCTGCAGGTCAGGCAGCAGGCTGAAGACTTACACAGGCTTATGTCCCAAGAACCGGAGGTTAGGCGACAAGAAGAATGCAGGGTGGAGGAAGAGAGCGAGCTTTGCCAGAACATCCATTTATATACTGGAGGCAGGCCACACTCTCAAGGAAACTCCCCTTTCAACTGATTGGCTGCTCACATCAGATCACAAAATGGAAGGTGATTGCATAGTGTGTGCCAAACCACTGAGAATCAGCCTAGCCAAGCTGACACATAACATTAACCACCACAGATGCTAAATGTTAAAGTAACTGGGCTAGGTGGAACCTAGATTATTAGCAAGATGCTGGTGGGCAGAGTTTGGAAAACTAAGTCTGCCTCTTCCCCCATTGCCCCAGAGAGTTCTGACTCCCAGTGGCCATTCTTCCAGCAGTTCTGTGATATGTGTGTGAGGTGGCCTTCGTTGCCCTGGGATATTTGGGCACTTTTCAAAGCAGCCCTTCCCGAGATGCCCATCACTCCCAAGGTGCTCTGATAATTTTTGCACAAAGACCTCAGTTCCCTCCCTGCTCCCACCCCTACACACACTTGCAAGGGCCTTTGTCCTGTCTCCCACACGTGTGATTGTGGCCAGGAACGTGGCCGCCATGGTCCCTGGTGCTGCCATGCTCTGAGTGTTGTCCCCAGGAGCGGGTGCTGAAGCTCAAGGATTTAAGCCTTCTTGTCCAAATCTGCTGGAGAGCCCTGGAACAGAGGCCCTGGGTTCTCCATTCAGATGGGGCTGTCCTGGGGAGGATACAGCCCAGATGGAAAGGACCCCATTAGTTGGACCCCAGAGAGTCAGAACTGAATCAGACGTAGTCCCTGCCTCAAGTTGCCCCTAGACCAGTGGGAAGGCAGATCCTCTACATGATCAACCCTGAGATAACAAAGTAAAGCTGTGGGAATAAAGTGCAACTCAGGAAACAAGAACAAAAAGAGTGTATCAATCAACAATGGCTACAACAATGCTGCATAACAAATGATCCCATCTGTCAGTGGCTTACAACCATAAGTATTTATTTCTGGCTCATGTGTCTACAGATTGGCTGGGGTAGCCTTGCTGATTTCAGCTGTGTCTGGCTGGCTGGATCCCTAGGAATGGATAGGGTTAAGGTCTGCCCATGTGTCTCATTCCTCTGGGACCAGTGGGCTACCCAGGGGACACTCTGTTCATGGTGATGGCAGAAGGGCAAGAGGGTGCGCCCCACCACCAAGCCCATGTCAAGGCTTTGCTCCAGGTGACATCTCCTAACATCCCATTGGCCAAAGCATGTCATGTAGCAGAGCCCAACATCCATGGGGACTGGACTGACACTCCTCCTACAGACGGAGGGGAGGGAAATCACTTTGCCAAATGATTATCCCCACAGAAGGCTTCACAGAGGAGATGGCATTTGAGCTAGGCCTTGGAGGGGAAGCTGGATTTTTCCAGGTGAAGATGAGACAGGGCACTGCTGTCAAAGGTTTGAAATGTGTGTGGGGGGAGAGTACAGCTAGGGTAGCGGTGGGGCATCACAGCCTGGCCATAGCAGGTCCCTGAGCCAGAAGCCTGGTGTGTCCTTTCTTTGAACACAGCATCTCCAGGCTCCTCACCCCCAGTCATTTTATTTCCACATTCTAAAACTCCAACTATGTGTCACAAAATACAAGTTGGAGACTCAGTCTTCAGCAAGGAATCATAGTGGAAAATGTACTGCTCGTCTCTTTTATACAAGTTTTACTGGGCACAAATCAGCCAGTTTCACAGGCCCACCCTTCAATCTTGGGGTTCAGGTCTCCAATCTTGCAGTCCAGCAGCTGCACCCCTGCAGCTGTGCCCAACACAACCCTTCTTGAAAAAACTCAGAGGTGACAAAGTCAAGGCAGCCAGGGGGGTGAATCAAAACAAAGCACCCAGGGATGGAAAACTTCTGTGAGCAGAGACTCCACACACGGAGCTGAGGCTGAACAATCGTGGGAACAATGGCTACAAGACAGGATGCGGAGAGTATAAACCTTGACAATGTCCAAATAGGAATTCACAAATTTGGGAGGAGGGGAAGGAGACAGGAAGTGGTAGTGAGTTCATTTCCTCGTCCTTGTCAAGAGATGTCATCTACAGTTGAATCGTATTTAAAGAATGAATCTGAAGGCTTACTGTTTTTCTTTCCCTTAGAGAAGTAATTTGGAAACATGGAAGAAGCATAATTATGTGCGGCTCAGAGATTTCTTTAGTTACATTTAAGTTTCCTTTTGTTCTGTTAAATTTAAATACTTTTTCTCAAGACAGCATGTATTGTATGAGCTCGGTTTTATAAAAATTTCTATCCATCTCCCTGCCCTTTTCTCTGAACCTGTGCATGAAGAGACGTTTAGATTGCTCTCCAGATGTCAACCCCAATTACTTCTGGGTGTGCTGGGTTTCCAGACCACTTTAAAATTTTATTCAGTGTTACTGAATTTCTTATAATGAGCACGCGTGATTTTTATAAACGAGGAGTCTTTTTCTTTTTAAACTAAAATGTATTTCTGGAAGAGGAAAAATCCAGCTCCTCTGCTGGACACTCGGACATGCCCCAGCTATCCATGCCCCAGGGCAGCCAGCACCTGGGTAGAGGGACAGAGACCTGGGCCTGCTCCACCAAGATTGTTCCCAGGACCCTCTCCCCGTGGGGTGAGGGGTGGAGCTCACCCCATTGGTGGTTCAGCAGCTTGGGGGCTGGAGGGGGAAGCGGGGGAAGGAAAAGTGTTGATATAGTTACCCAGGACCTGGGTCAGTGCTGTCATCTGCCCTGGAGGGATGGAGGGAAGGACTGTGCCCAGGATGCATTTTCGAGCCTGGGAATCGGAGGCTTGGCTGGCGGAGAGGCACCTGGAGGCCTTGAGTCAGGCTGATCTGGGTCAGATCCTCAGGCTTCTGCAGCTCAGCTGGGTGCTTTGAGCCTTTCTGGGCCTGTTTCCTCATCTGTAGGGCCCAGGAAGGTGGCCTGCCCCACTTTACTTTCAGGTTGCTATGAGGAACATGTGATGGGCAGTGTCTGGTATTTTCTAGTTGAGTGGTCACTAAGGACACTCAGTACTACATTCTAGCATCATAGGATTAAATTCTAACCAGCATAGCCGGGACCCCAGTCTAGATGCTAAATGTGAGAGGGCCAGGCAGCTCAGTCTGGCAGTACCTGGGTCCTAAAAGCCACTCTTATGTCCCTAGCTCCATCTAGTGCCTACACTGGGGCACAGCCAAGTATAACTGGCTGATTGTAAAACCAGTTTCCTTTCTTGCATATGGTACAACACTCATTGGGCAAAAATGGACCTAGATAAGATCAGCTTATTTCTCCCAGTACTAAGATTTGGCATTTCAAAATAAGGGCAGGAGGCCCTGACCAGACCAAATTCAGTATTTTTAAAGACTTGTGCATCCTGCCTTTGAAAGGGCAATAGATAAATACAGCAAATAATAGTTCCGTATGTATAATAATTGACACTTATGGAGTGTTTACTATGTGCTGGGCACATTTACTATGAGCTTTAATTCTGTGAATTCATTTTGCCTTCCACAACACTATGAGACAGGGATGCTTATGGTCCCATTTGATAGATGAGGGTGCTGAGGTGCACAGAGATTAAGCAAATCTTGTCACTCCACTAATTTCTGAGGGGAGGAAGAGGCTGCCCAGTGGGGCAGATGATGATGAGGGAGCCAGATAGGAGACAACTGCCTGGATTGAGGAGAGAGGAGGCCTCTGTTGAGGTCAGGTGAGGGCCTCGAGGAGAACAGAGGAGGCCTGGAATGTCTAGGGGAGGCAGGAGAGGATTGGGGTTATTAATCTTCTCTGGCAGTGGAAAAGCCGAGGCTCATCTTGAGTTGTGGGGGTCAGAGCATGGCAGAGGGCTGGGGGCTTGAGCTCAGGGCTGGAGGGTATCATGAGGCCATTAACCCAGTGGAGTAGGCCTTGAGGAAGGAAGTATGGCCAGGAGAGGATGGGCACCCTGAGAGAAGCGGTGGCTCAGGAAGTTAGGGTTAGAGATGGGATTTCTGAGTAAGATTTCATAAGCAGAATAGTCACCTTTCTGACAAGCGCTGGGTGTGGCTGAGGAAGTGGTTTCTGAAGGAGGCGTGAGGCTGTGTTGTAGGATAGGCTGTGAGTCCCACTGGGGCCATGGGGGCGGGGTGTAGAAAACAGGGCCCGTGTCAAAGCCTTGGGGAAGATGGGCAGAGGCCTGCAGGTCAGTACATGACAGTGGAGCAACTGGGGGCTGGAAGTGGCATCAGTGGCCTGAACCTCCTTTCCACCGGGGGCTTAAAGTGAGGGCAGGAGCAAGGGTTTGGAAGGGAGGCAGAACAGAGCCACCTCCAGGATGCCGTCTGTCCTTGGCACCTAGAGTTTCAAAGGAGCTGTGTGCCCCTACTTCTTTCTGAACTTCTCTAAGGGGCAGAGTGTGTCATAAGAACTCCTGACCTGCCCGGCGCAGGGCCAGAAACCCAGAAGGGCAGGTAGAACCGTGCAGGAAACAAGAGGAACGCTTTCCACCAATTCAACTCATTCACTGGGGATGAAGAAAACACCAGATGCAGGTACAACCTTATTGTGCGGCTTTTAATTACGAAACATGTAAAATGATGCATTATAAAACTTGGAAGCTACTTTATACAAATTCTGATCTTTAAATATTGTTTACAAGGGGATCTGGGAGTTAGGACACTGGCGGGAAGTCTGATTAGTTGATGTGATGGTCCCGTCCGCGAAGCCATGGAAATGGACTTGGAATCTGTGTATAAATCAGAAGAGCCAACTAGAGGCAGAACTGGAAAGGTCTTCAAACATGCAGATGAAGTTGAATACACAACATTTCAGCTCAGGTAATATACAGTAGACTTAGAAGAAACAAAACAGGACAAAGGAGAATTTATGCTGATCTTGACATGATCAAGAAAATTTTCTAACACCGTATGTCCTAAACACCACGCCCATACGGAAAGAAAAAAATGGAAAAACAGGTAAGTTTTTAGTTCCACACTGTGACTGCTAATACATGACAGTAGGACAGCACTTGATTCCTCGTGACAGGACTAAATATTGGAGAATCGGTTCTTCTGAAGTGAGTAGCTACTTCAAGTGCTGAGGACCACGATGGTGTGCTGCAGAGGGGGTAGTGAGTGCAAGCTGACCCGCTGAAGGGTGAGCGTGGCACCTGTCTGTGGGTGTGACCCAAAACCATCTACACAAAGTGGGTGTCATAATGCCCAAAACCTTCCAAAAGAAAAGATCTGACTGACGGACCTAAGGACAAACTGAATTCAGCACTAAACACACTGTCATTGTTACACTCCCCCGAACACATGGCTTCTCCTGGGAGGCTTGTTTCTCTGAGTCTCCTGGAGGATGCCCCACTGGGCCACTTGATCCTCGCTGCGCAGGCGTGAGGGTCTGCAGTTGTAAGGCGGGGCTGCTGTGCAGGCCAAGAAAGCTGGGACCCGACAGCGAGGCCGTGATGCTCAAGGGTAAAGGCACTGTGCAGAGGGTGGATCTGCGGGGCCCTCCTTTTTTCAAACCACAAAACCCTTACAGCATCATTACCACCCCCACCCCGCCTGAAAGGCCAGGTCAGGTTTCAGGGCCTCTGACACAGGAGAGGCAGCAAAGAGGGCTTCTTTCGGCACACTGGTGCATTGGCTACTGAGTTACAACGGGAGGCCTTTTTTCTTTAACGAAAAGTAACCCCGCCCTGAGATCTGAGTATGAAGGGGTCTGAAAGTTTCACTGGGAATGAAGATTAGGAAGGGGGAGGCCATAGCCCCTTCATGAACCGGAGCCCAGGCAAAGGGGGAGTCTGGTTTGGTTTCCTGATTCAATAGCTGGGATTCGGGCTAATGTGAACCAGGGATACCTGGGTTCCTGAGCAAGGTAGAGCAACCCACCACCAGGGTTATTTTAAAGATCAGAGATGTAGGTGGTCCTCTCTGAAGGCCAGAGAGAAACAGGATGAGGTCTGGGGAGCTAACCAGCCGAAGGTCTCATGAGACTCTTCTTGCCCTGAAGGACAGCAGTGTTCAGTTCAGGCCCCCCACCAGTGCAGCCTTGCTTCTCTGGGTGGGAGCAGCCCAGCCACCTTCAGCGACACTCCTGGCATCTCCTGGCAGGGCAGTGCCACCTGGGCAGGCAAAGCCCTCATCTTTCGTCTCTGTTTCAGGGTTCCTCCCCGCAACACCTGTCTTCCCATGCCCTCCTCCTACCCCCGTTGCCCAGACCCCTTCACTGTGGTGAGCTGTAGGCTTGTTTCCCTTTGTCCCCTTCAAACCCACCTGTCAGGTTTCCTGGTGGGGCTGGTCTAGCCTACATTAGCTGAGGCAGTGGCCAGGGGAGGCAAGCAGTGGTAGGAATCTGGTAAAACTATTTTATGATAAGGTATTAATGGCTAGTGGTGGTTTCATGAATTAGGCCTTTATTTTACTACTATTTCTTCAACCTCAAAGAATGAATCTTGAGTTAAGCAATTTAGAGTGGAACACGGATCTGAGAGGGAAGATCTTTCGGGTGGGGGCCTGGATCCCTCAGGTCCCAGCACCTGAGCAGCCTCAGTGTGCCCAGCCATTCTGGAGGCACTCAGAGTTTCTACCTTGAGGAGAATGGGGTGACCACTCTACCGTGGATTTGGTTACCTAGTGTTGAAAGCAAATTAAAGTGCGTGCTTAACCACAGGCTCAAATATTAGAAAAGCTAGAGCTCAGAGGAGGTTTGGCAGGGAGTGGGGGTGTCTAAAGATTTGACTGCCTCACAGCAAGGCAGATTCACTCATTCATTCATGCATTCAACAGGCATCGATGTAGCACCTATTCCATGCCAGGTACTTGATAGGTTCTATGGATTCAATGATGATATAAGGCACAGTCCTGCCCTCAAGGAGCTGATGGTCTAGTGGGGTTACATTAACTCTCCCGATCCACAGTGAAACAGCTCTAGGAGTGAATGAGAAGCTCAGGTGCTGGGTGGGCCTGATTCAGCCCTGCAGCCTTCTTCCCTCCAGCTGGTCTGTAGGAAGGAGGCCTGTGCTTGTCCGGAGCTTGTCCAGAAGATGTGTATCTCTGTGAGACACCTAAGCCCTATCTCTCCTTCTTCACCAGCCACAAGGAAGAGTGCTGTTCTCTTCAGCTTTATCCGTTGCTGGGGGACTTTTCAGTGACTGAATAGAATAATCTTTCTTTTCCTCCTGTCCATAAGGAAAAGGTGAACAGAAGCAGCAGAAAAGAGATTACAGACTGGGAGAAAACAAATTAGCATTCGGTTTGCCTAACTCAAGCCTATTCTGGGACTTGTGGTAAAAATTCTTCTTCCTATTGGATTTAAGGCATCTGAGAGAGCCACGGCACCTCGCCATGCCCTGGAATGCTCCAGCTCCAGCCAGTAACGCTCGGGGTAGGGAAAGCATCGTGGGGTTGTGGTACCGCTGCATGATGCTGAGCCAGCACCCTCAGGTCCGTGGCCCCTCACCGCTTCCACCTCCAAGTCCTTCCTTCAGTTGACATCAGTGGTTCTTAGCACTGCACAGTGCTGCCAAGGCCTCCTTACATGGTGTTTCCTACTTTTACACATCAGCTGGCTAAAGGTGAGATGGTCACGGAGATGAGCTGTCAAGTTCACCAGAAGCCCCCAAGCAGCCTGCGCCGTGGGCCTGAGAGATGGTGTGTAGCCCTGCAGTCTAGAATAAGTCATGGGAACTCATCTGGAAGCTTGGAGTATTGGAATTGGTTTGTTCCATGTCAGAAGCCCGAGATAACTACAGCCCAGGCGTACAGCTGGCTCCATTCTATTTTGGCTGTTTCAGAAATAAATTCTCCTGTTCTGCTCCATTCTGTTCACAGTCGGTCAGCTCGAAATGTCTCTTCAACAGAGGGGTCCAGCAGGCCCATGCTGGAGTCACTTAGCATGTTGAGTCTGTCCAGGGTCAGGGGTTCAATTTGGAGCTCGTCTTCCAATGGGAATGGATTGTCCACATTCAGGCTGACCTCAGGCATGCCTGCCAGCGCATTGCTGAGGTCTTTGAAGAGGCTGGTGCTCGAGTCTTCTGTAAGGAGCAGTGAGAGGGGAAAACAATGTGGATTAGGAAGCATTAGGGTCCCAGGCTACAGAAACCACGGCAGACCTTCTACTAAGAGAACACAACTGATGACAACCCCAAGAAACGCTCTTCTTGTCCTCTTCCCAGCCAGGACAGGGATCATCTGTGAAGTGACCACTCCCTGCAATCTATGTGCTTTCTGTCAGTTCCACAACTCTTGATTTTTATAGGCTCCCTTTCTTTGCATTGTCAAAACTGAAAATTTCAGCAAAGGCTTTTATCATCAGGCCCCTTCCCCACCACCTTACCGTCTCTGGGGCTGGACAGCTGCATGTCAAGAAGGTAAAGCTGAGCCAGGGGATCTTCACTTTTGGCTTTATATAACGTTACGTTGTGTGGAACTATTGCACAATAGCATTTGTAAAAATACAGCAAAAATAAAAACAGTAAAGAAGCTGAGGGGGTCTGTCATGGATTGAATTGTATCCCCCCAAAGTATGTGTATCAGTTTGGCTATGCCATAATTCCCAGTATTGTGTGATTGTCCACCATTTTGTCATCTGATGTGATTTCCCTATGTGTTGTAAATGCTATCACTATGATGTTAATGAGATGGATTGGTGGCAGTCATACTGATAAGATCTATACGATAGTGTCTTAAGTCAATCTCTTTTGAGATATAAAGGAAAAAAGCAAGCAGAGAGACGGGGGACCTCATATCACCAAGAAAGTAGCAACAGGAGCAGAGCGCGTCCTTTGGACCCAGGGTCCCTGTGCCTGAGAAACTTCTCAACCAGGGGAAGATTGATGACAAGGACCTTCCTCCAGAGCCGACAGAGACAGAAAGCCTTCCCCTGGAGCTGATATCCTGAACTTGGACTTGTAGCCTACTAGACTGTGAGAGAATAAATTTCTCTTTGTTAAAGTCATCCACTTGTGGTATTTCTGTTATAGCAGCACTAGATGACTAAGACAGGGTCCAAGGCACAACAATTGGTCTCTATTTGCCTAGAGCAACAGAGGAAGAAGTCAGGAATAGGAGGAGGAAATGGAACATGTGGCTAATTGCCTCCTCTGCCATGAGACCAGACCTGGATGGTGCCCGGCTACCATTACTGAACATTCTGATCAAAGATTCTATTGAAGAATTCTGCTCAAAAGGGGGAAAATACAGAGCAGAATTACAAATTCTCATGGACTCCAGACTTCCTGGTGCCACAGAGGCTGGATGAACCCCTGAAACTACTGCCCTGAGATAATCTTTAAACCTTAAACCAAAAATATCCCCTGAAGTCTTCTTGAAACCAAACAACAGTTTAGCTTAACTAGTAGAAAATATCTGCCTTGAGCATTATGCTCTTTTGAGAACTATCTATATGGGATCGAGGTGACAACAGCTACTTGAAAGATTAGATAGGAACCTTAGGAGGCAGTGAGTTTATGTTAATGGGAGAGGAACAACTCAGAAAAGGAGGGTGAGAATGGTTGCACAACTCAGAGAATGTAATCAGTGTCACTGAATTGTACATGTAGAAACAGTTGAATCGGTGTATGTTTTACTGTGTGTATTCTCAACAACAAAAGAAGATTAAAAAAAAAAAAGCTGAGGGTCCCCACTCACCTGTCAGGATGGTGTTTGGGAAGCTCCCACAGTTGGGATACAGGTTTGGTCTTAAATAAAGTGAGTCCTGCGGTTCTCGGTGACCTTGTTGCAACAGGGGCACCTAGAAACATCAAAGGTCACGGGGTAAGGAACTATCTCTGCTTCTGAGGAGTGACTGAATTGAGTCATGCAATGTGCTCCCAGAGCAAAAGCAAGACACGAGAAATGTCTTCTACCCCTTTCTTTCTAGAACCCACAGTACTCTGCTGTTGTACTAATGTACACAGGATCTTCTCCTCAGCAGGCAGGTGCGGGGTAGGGAGGGGTTTCTGAGGTCCACAGTGCAGGCAGCTTGTCCCAGCTCACACACTGCCTGGCCCACTGAGCCATTCTGGGAGGAGCCAGCAGCTTCTGCAGGCCCTCTGCGGGACTCACACACCCTTCCTCCTCATCCACATGGAGCCCTTCTGGAAACGACCATTTGTGGAAACCCTTGAAAGGCTTTGTCTGTAGCCAAGGAAGTGATGGGCTCTTCTTCTGTTTGGTTTCTAGAAAAACAAGAAAGTAGAACCCCTTCCTCCTTGCACTCGGAGGAAGGAACCTCAGACCCTGTCATCGGGCAATCTACTCTGCAGGACACGGCCTCTGTGACGGCTGGTTAGAACTGCGGCTTACTATATGTGCCTTGCCTGAAATTAAGTTTCCAAACATTTGAAAAATGTCTCAGAAGAAGCTCCCATCATTTTTCAGGGAGACACTGACTCTCACCTAGACTAAAATGGCCTTTCCAGAAAATGGGAAGGCAAAGACTATTGTTCTGATCACTAGGCTTCACTTAGAAAATCTCTGCCTTCATTAGTATTATTAGGTTCTAGAAAGTGTACAACCCTCCCTTGTCTCCATCCATCTTGCAGCCCAATCCACACTTACTAAACACTATAAAATCTAGGGATACTGAAATAGTTAGTGATAGGGAAAAACTCAGAAATAAAAGAAAACGGCTAAGTGAGAATATCTTATAGAGAGACCTCCCCCGCATCACACCTCCCTCAGAACCCAGTTCTCCTAAGAGGCCCCACACTGTGGTGGGTACACTTACTTGGCCTGCAGGCAAAGCCCTGTGCCACTTTCTAACTCAGCTGCTGGGATAAGCCACTGCCCCTCCCTGTGCCTCAGTTTCCTCAACATGAAGGGATGGATTAATTGACAGCTATGGTCCTCTCCAGCACTGATGATTCTACAACTCTGTGACTGGAGTGTCAGCAACAAGCCTCCTACCACTTGTTCAAACAGTTCCTTGGCTGAGGGCTGACAAGAAATAAGGCAGCCAGCACTCACCTTTAGGGACAGGAAAGATTCAAGGCACTGCCGGTCACAGAACACACCTGAAGTCAGGGAACTGAAGCATCGAGTCTATTTGGTTGTGGGCTCTATACAGTGAACAGCCTAAATGGTGCCGCTTATGCACCAAAGAAGAGGAAGGCATAAGGGTGAGACACACTTTTGTGCCAAGACCACGTACCTGCTGAGGAAAAGCCAGGCCTGCCCTCACGGACTGCTGGTCAAAGCCCACATCTGGAAAGAAGCTGGTCAAAGATGAGCCCTTCAGGGAATAAGGAGGTGACCATTTAGCTTGGGACTCAGCAAAGTAAGGGCACCTCCTCACCATTGCTCCTGTTAGGGCTTACCTGGGACGTGAGGAGCTGGAAGTCCGACTGGGGCAGTGCTGAGACCGCCTGGGGCGGCTGAGCTGGGGGCTCCTGGGCTCGGGGCTGCTGGAGAAGAGGCCGGGGGAGCTCCTGGGGCGTGGGGTAAGGGGGCGGCGGGGACACTTGGGCTTGAGCTTCTGTGGGCAGGAAGGAAAGCGGGCTTTGATCTGAGGGCACCATCTGTAACCAAATAAACAAAGGCACTAATTGGCTTATCTTCTGAGTTCCCAGGAGCGGGTCCATTTGGATTAGGAAATGTCAAAAGTGAGGAAAAAGCCAGAGTTTTTTACACTGTGGTATTTTATGCTGTGCTCTGAGAAGCCTTTTTTTGCTCCTTTAAAGTATATCTCATCTCCTGAAGTTCACGCTTCAGCCAAAGATTAGACAGGTCTATAAAACAAACAATAACACGCTCAAGGAATGTGCTTCTTAGTTCAATCATGTATATGAGGCCAAAAGGGCAACATCTGCCCAAAAGCAATGGCAAGAAGGCAGGAAGGGACAGGAATAATGGACAGATGGAAATGGGGAATTGCAGCATGGAAGTGGAGGGTGTTGACATATTGCAGGGATTGTAACCAGTGTCACAAAACAATTTGTGTATAAAGTGTTGAATGAGAAACTAATTTGCTCTGTAAAGTTTCACCTAAAGCACAACAAAAAGAAAAAAAAAATACCAATGACTAGGCCTTAAAAAAAAAAGAAAAATCTCAAATCTCACTTCCCCACAAAGCATGTCCCATTCAAGGACAATTTCTGTTGTCTTAAAAAACAAAACAAAAAACAACCAATTTAGCCAGTTCAAGTTTTCTTAGCAAAAATCATGTTTGTTTTCTTTTAGAACCATCATTTCTGGTTAAAGATGGCAGACTGAAAAGGGTATTTAGCCCTGCTCTTTATGAAACTCTACTAAAACACTAAGAAAAGACACTAAAATGACATTAAAGAACAATAAACATTAATACACAACACTAAAATAATAAACAGCACTAAACTCATAATAAACAACATGAGGACAAAGATAATAGGAGAAAATGGCAACACAATTTGGAAAATGAAAAGTAGATGGATAAATGGTAACTGGCTTAGCAGAGCCAAGAGAGCTGAATAATAAGCTGGCAGAGGGGAAAACCAAGCGGTAATCTGATTTACATCACAGGATCCCTCAGGTCTCTGGGACTGGGGACAGCAGGCAGCAGGGAATGAAGATGGGGTAGAAGTAAGGAAGATCTCTTCCAAGTTTATTTAAGCAGTTAGCTTTGCCTCCCAGGTGTTGCTGTGCATCGGCCCCTCCCTCCCCGCCACCTGACCAGAGACTGGAAAGTTACACTCTGAAGAGAGTAAAACTAAAACTAAAAACAGGGAACACCAGACCAGACCCCTGAGGGTGGACGCACTCTATAGGGTTTATGAGAAAGCTCACTTAGCAAATCTTGAGGTCCTCCTTCCCTCCTTTTTTCCCAACTTGGCTCCCAGAATGCTGGCACCCAGGCACATACCCAGGCGCAAGATTGGAATAGCATCCTTTGGGGATTCTGACCAACTTGAGAGAAATCCTAAAATTTGTGACATCAGTGGTTTCCTTGCTAGGTCACTCTCCAATGAAAATCACCCTCAGTGAGCCCACCCATGTACGCAGAGCTTCCAAACAGCTTTTTAGTGTCTTATTCTTAAGTATGTGCAGAGTGCCAAGGATCAGCAGATTGTGAGGAAAGCATCTGGCATGAAAGTCAGAGATCAAAGCAGACATATGGAGAAAAGAACTTGGAGAAATCTATGCAGGAAGTAGCTGTCAAAAAAAGCAAAATCAAAACTATCATTATAATATTTAGATTATTTTAAAAATTTTTATCTGTTAGAGATACATATTTAAATATTTGCAATATGTATCTCTGTATATTTTTTGAAAGTATGGGTATGGATGAAATTAGATTATAAAAATATCAATAATTGTTAAGGCTGGATGATGGATACAGGAGGATTCATTCCACTTTTTCTACTTTTATGTAATTTGAAAAATTTCCATTATGAAAAGTAAAAATAAATCTGAATAAAAATTACTAATAAAAATCTCAGAGAGATAAAGGATGATACTGTATCCATGAAACAAGTGTGATGCTATAAAAAAGGAACATTAAGAGAAAAAAAAGAACTCTTAGAAATTTAAAAGTATGAGAGTAGAAATAAAAAAAACCTCAATAGACGAGCTGGAAGATAAAGTTGAGAAATTCTTCCAGAAAGTAGAGCAAAAAGACAGGTGGAAAGGAGGAGGGGGAAAAAAAAGAAGGAAAGAAAGGGAGTTAGAAGATCAGCCTAGGACATCTAATATCCACACAACAGGAGTTCCAGAAAGAAAGAGCAGAAAAAATTAAAAAGAAGAAATCACTGAAGAAATAATTAAAGAAAATTCCCTAGAACTGAAGGATACGTATTTTCAAATTGAAGGAACCCACCAAATATCCAGGTCAATAGATGAAAACTGATTCATGCCAAGCCATGTTATCTTGAAGTCTCAGAACACTGGGGACCAAAAGAAGCTTCTACAAGCTTCCAGAGGAAAAAAGGATACTTCATACAAAGTATCAAGAATCAGTATGGCATGGGATTTCTCAGTAGCAACTCTAAAAACTAAAAGGCAATGGATCAATACCTTCAAAATTCCAAGGGAAAATGATTTTAAATTTAGAATTCTATACCCTGCCATATTATCAATTAAATGGACAGTAGACTAAAGACCCACTACCCATCAGTCAGTCTGTCATACTGTGGTGGCTTGTGTGTTGCTGTGATGCTGGAAACCAACAGGGTCATCATGGTGGACAAAGTTTTAATGGAGTTTCCAGACTAAGACAGACTAGGAAAAAAGGCCTGGTAATCTACTTTCAAAAATTAGCCAAGGAAAACCTTATGTATCACAACAGAACATTGTCTGACTTGCTTACTTTGGATATGTCATCAGAAGGGATCAATTGCTAGAGGAGGACATCATGAGGGTGAGGGAGAGCCTCAGTGAGATGGATTGGCACAACAGTTGCAGTGATGGACTCAAATATACCAGCAATCATAAGCATGACATAGTTCTGGGCAATGACTTATTCTGTTGTACATAAGGTTGCCAGGAGTTGGAGGCAAATCAATGGCATCCATCCACCCATCCATCTATCTTTCTAGACATTTTTCAGTCATACAGGATCACATGTACTCTTTCTTGTAAAGCGACTGGAGAACTTGTAATTAAACGTCTTGAGGGGAGAGCTACCCAACTCTCTTCAAGGGTTTGGGGTTGAATTAGTAATACACACATAGAAAACCAGGCTAACCAAAACAGCAAGATATTTATTAACTCCCAGGAGAAAAAAAGAAAAGTTCATTTTGTTATTTCATAGTATACTATGTGGTACAACTCTGAGTACATTATTGTTACTGTGGAAACACTCAACATTGAGTATTGCTCTAATCAAAATTATAATAAACTATATTGTAAAGATGGGCAGGGAGGAAGTGTGTGTGTGCGCGTATGTGTGTGATGGGGCTCGGGGAAAAGGTGAAAGAGAATTAAATCTTAACCTTCCACAGTAGGATGTCATTAGATAATGCCTAACACTGAAAAATCTAGAATAACCAAAATAAGCTTGAAATAACATGAAGGTTATACTGAAGGGATGAGCTAAGATGGCTGAAAGCAGCCATCCCTAAGCAGTGAGAAATACAGTTAGTGGGGCAGGGGAAGACAGCGGCTATTTCATAACAAGCTTTTCAGAAAAACTATTTGAGTCTTTAAACTATGTGCTGCATAACACTAATTTAAAAAAAATTACAAATCACAAAAATCAAAACATCTAAAAGAGAGGATACAGTTCCTTTAAAATGTAGCTAGGAGGCAAGAATAACAGTTTTTCTATCCTGTAAAACAATCTTGCAAAATAAAATTAAAATTAAAGGCAAAATAATATACAATTTAAGGCAATCCAATAACGTAAAAAGAACCATCAAAAAACAATTATGAAATGCCTTCTCACGCCCCCCCCCAAACAGATGACTCATATAACTAAGATCCCGAGCTAGTAAGAGGCAAAGAGTGACTAATAACTAGGTCTTCTAACTCCTTCCGTTGTGCTCTGTCAACTCCACCTTGCCAAGACATTACTCATTTATAGAGAAGTGGTGAGTAGTTAATGATGCTATAATGTATCTAAGGAGTGACCAATAGGTTAAAAATACATTCATTGATGATTACGGTAAGGAGAACCACCCAGAGTTTAGAGTAAAAAAAAGTCAACAAGTCAAAATAGGAAGTTTCAACCCCTGCATTTCTGTAACAGGCTCATGACTTCAAAATGTGTCTCTTCCTAAATGGACTTCTTTCAGTCATTTTATAGAGACACAATCCTTATTATACCTAATATTTGATAAGCAATAAAGGTACTGTTTCTAAGGAAGAGGGCTAATCAATTTCAAAGCCTCAAGAAGATATTAAATGTCTTCTTTGGCTTTCTCCTGTGGCTTAAAGTACTGATAGAGTCAATTACTGATTTTCCATTCCAATTTTAAAATCTTAACCTGGTGTCCCTTAACCACCTTGGACGTATCTGGACTGGTTCCTCTATACCCTACCCTTTTCCCCACCCCAAGTTCATGAGGTGCAGTGACTGCAAACTGTTCAATATTTGCTTAAGAGTAACCAAGACAGCAAACTCACTACTAGAAAATCATTAATGCATTCTAAACTACTCACACTTCTGTTCTCCCTGATTTCACATTTGAGAACCAACTGCATTTGAGACCTCATGGATGCTTAGTGCAATGGACCTAATCCAGAATAACCCAGAGAAGGAAAGCAATTCCTCTAAACTTCAGTCTGTTTAATTGTAGTTTTGTTGTTTTGTTTTTTACCTGGGAGGCAGGATATGGGTTCAGTGGGCTAGTTGAAGAGAGCTGTCTGTTGAAACCCTGGTGTGCTTCATGGCCAGGAGAAAGCGTGAGAGGGCTGACGGGAGGCTGCCTCCGCCGAGAGGGGCCACTCAGGTTTGTGGTGGGAAGGGATGGGTTGCTACGGGAAAATGAACGGAGCGAAGGGTGAAGAGCAGAGGTGCTGGGGGCGGATGTCTGCAGGTGGCTATTCAGGGAGGAGGAAAGCACTGTTGTATTGAGTGTGGCTTGGATGGAGGGGTTACTGCGAGAACTCTGGAGACCTAGAAGACAACAAATCCACAAGTTATTTGTCATAATTTCAGAATACATCTTTTTTTCCCCAAAGATTAAAGGAAACTTCCTATTATCCATATTTGAATACTATCCTACACGTAAAGGGGCTCCTGGGCAAATCTCCTACGGAAAATGTATCAGGTGGACCAACAGCAAGGAAAAGGTGCACCCGTACTGAGAGAGATGGTGCCATCAAGATGAGAATCATTTCTTCCCAAGGGGAATGCGATCATGTAAACAACTGCTGAGAGCAGGACTGCGCAGCAGGGGTGCCATGTTCAACTCCACCCCAGGGAAAGTATCCCAGGGCTGTACACAATTCTCTTTGGAGTAGCTGAACACCTCTGTCCTAAGCACACCGCCTGGTCCTCTGCTGCCTTTGGAGAACATCCTTTCACTGAGAGCTGTAGCTGTCGGGAAGCTGCCTCAGTGGACCCTTTAAATACCCTTCATGAACCATGGAGCCATAGGAAGGGACATACCCCATATCTCCTGCCCCAGCATTCCTCTCTGTTTTCCAGACTGCTGGGAAATTGTTCATCATAGTCTATTCCAACTCAAGGAAAAGGAAGTTTTGTTTAATTTGGGGCAGGGGGTGAATTTTAGCATAAGCCTCCATGGTGGCACAGTGATTAAGAACTCAGCTGCTAACCAAAAGATTAGCGGTTTGAATTTACCAGCCACTCTCTGGAAACTCTATGCGGCAGCTCTACTCTGTCCTAAAGGGGTGCTATGAGTCGGAATTCAACTTGACGGCAATGGGTTTTTTTGGTTTTCCATGGCAGAGGTTCCCAGCCACTGTGTCAATCCATCTCATTGAGGGTCTTCCTCTTTTTCGCTGACCCTCTACTTTATGAAGCGTGATGTCCTTCTCCAGGGACTGGTCCCTCCTGATAACATATCCAAAGTATGCGAGACGAAGTCTTGCCATCCTTGCTTCTAAGAAGCATTCTGGCTGTAACTTTTCCAAAAAAAATTTTATGCGTTCTTCTGGAAGTCCATGGTATATTCAATATTCTTCGCCAACACCATAATTCAAAGGCATCAATTCTTCTGTCTTCCTTATTCATTGTCCAGTCTCATGCATACGAGACGACTGAAAGCACCATGGCTTGGGTCAGGCATACCTTAGTCCTGAAAGTGACATCTTTGCTTTTTAACACTTTAAAGAGGTCTTTTGCAGCAGATTTGCCCAATGCAATAAGTTGTTTGATTTCTTGACTGCTGCTTCCATGGGCGGTGATTGTGGATCCAAGTAAAATGAAATCCTTGACAACTTCAATCTTTTCTCCATTTATCATGATTTTGCTTATTGGTCCAGTTGTGAGGATTTTTGTTTTCTTTATGTTGAGGTGTAATCCACACTGAGACTGTGGTCTTTGATCTTCATCAATAAGTGCTTCATCAGTAAGTGCTTCAAGTCCTCTTCACTTTCAGCAAGCAAGGTTGTGTCATCTGCATATCGCAGGTTGTTAATGGGTCTTCCTCCAATCCTGATGCCACGTTCTTCTTCATATAGTCCAACTTTTTGGATTATTTGCTCAGCATACAAATTGAGTAAGTATGGTGAAAGGATACAACCCTGATGCACACCTTTCTTAACTTTAAACCACGCGGTATCCCCTTGTTCTGTTTGAACGACTGCCTCTTGGTCTAAGTACAGGTTCTTCATGAGCACAATTAAGTGTTCTGGCATTCCCATTCTTCAAAATATTATCCATAATTTGTTATGATCCACACAGTCGAATGCCTTTACATAGTCAATAAAACACAAGTAAACATCTTTCTGGTATTTTCTACTTTCAGCCAAGATCCATCTGACACCAGCAATGATATTCCTTGTTCCACGACCTCTTCTGAATCCGGTTTGAATTTCTAGCAGTTCCTTGTCGATGTACTGCTGTAACTGCTTTTGAATGATCTTCAGCTAAATTTTACTTGTATGTGATATTAATGATATTGTTCGATCATTTCCGCATTTGTTGGATCACCTTTCTTTGGAATGGGTACAAGTATAATATGGATCTCTTTCAGTCAGTTGGCCAGGTAGCTGTCTTCCAAATTTCTTGGCATAGTCAAGTGAGCACTTCCAGTACTGCATCCATTTGTTGAAACATCTTAATTAGTACTCTGTCAATTCCTGGAGACTTGCTTTTCGCCAGTGCCTTCAGTGCAGCTTGGACGTCTTCCTTCAGTACTACTGGTTCTTAATCATATGCTACCTCCTGAAATGGCTCAATGTTGACCAATTCTTTTTGGTACAGTAACTCTGTGTATTCCTTTCATCTTCTTTCGATGCATTGTTTAATAGAGATTACAGCCTTGGAAACCCTATGGGGCAGTTCTACTCTGTCCTATAGGGTTGCTATGAGTCAGAATCAACTTGACAGCAATCTTTTTTTTTTTTTTTTTTAAGATAGATCTCTAATTATAAAATAGCCTCATATGTTGATAAGAGTCATTGTTTAGCTGACACAGAATGAACCCTTACTTCCTAACTCCCAAATCTGATTCCCCAAGCCCCCTGGACACAAAGGCTAGAGAAGACAATGAAGAACAAGGTTCAGCAGAGCTGCTCCGGAGCTCATCAGATCCACAGAAACAGAATCACCAAGCAAATGTTATCTCCAGCTCAGGTGCAGTAACTTTCACTCAGCGATCCACTGAACAGGCCACATGGCTAGGGACTGTCTATGATTAAGCCACCAGGGGACACAGCCAAGGTCCTCACGGAGCACAGCATACGTACCAGAGGAGTTTCTTATCTCCAAGTGAGTCATAGCAGCTGGGAGGTTGCCCACACTATTCCCCATACTCATACTCCCAAAGAGGTGGTCACCAGTGTCCAGGGAGGTTGGCAGGGGTGCCGAGTAATGGAGGTTGGTTAGATCTGGCAATGACCCCCCAGTGTTCAAGGTTCCCAGAAAGGATGAGAGGCCTATGTTTTGACTGCTATGTGGAAAGGCACTGAAAAAAGAAAGATAAGAATTACTTTAAAAAATGCATTTGGTTGTTGGGAAATACTACATGTATGATACATTGTAAAAAAAAACCCAAAACAGTTAAGTATCTAAGTTCTAGTGTAGGCTCTGCCTCTCCCTTGCTCTGAGAACTTGGGTCCTTGGCTTAACTTCTCTGAAGGACAATTTCCTTACTTGTTACATTGGGCTAATGATGATATTTATGCCCATTTTACAGGAATGTTTTCCAGACCAGATTGGATTATGGATGCAAAAGTACTTTGAAAATTATAAAGCACTATATGAAATGTGGAAGGAGCTCTGGTGGCATAGTGGTTTAAAGCGCCACTCAGCTGCTAACCAAAGGTCGGTAGTTCGAACCCACCTGCCACTCCTCAGGAGAAAGATGTGGCAGTCTGCTTCTGTAAAGATTACAGCCTTGGAAACCCTATGGGGCAGTTCTACTCTGTTCTATAGGGTCGCTATGAGTCTGAATTCACTCAATGGCAGTGGGTTTGGTTCTTTTATTATAAAATGTAAGCCACAGCTTTATATTTACGAGGTTCTTTTTGCTGGATTTCTAAATTATCTTTTTCTCCCCATATCCCCCTCCCCCCAAAAAAAGTATCTCATGGCAACTAGTCCCTTCCAAGATGTATTTTTTCAATTACAGTCTTCACAAACTGTAAAGTGAGAGAGATGCTGCCATTCATTCATCACACTCTGCTCATCAAGTGCCAGGCACCAGGCTAAGCTGGAGGGATGGTGATGAATGAACAAGGTGCGTGTATCCACGGCTAGGCCTGCTCTGACATTTGCAGGCCTGGGGCAAGAGTACAAGTGGAGGCCCGTATACCATCTGTTTAAATTTTTAAAAGTTATAAATCAAATGTATAAACTCTTAAATGAAATATGTTCCATTTTTTGATCTTGACAAATTACACCTTCACAGGAGTCTGGAAGGCCAGGTTCAAACTGAGAATTCTCAGGCTCCTTGGGGTTCTGGGGCAGAATGTACAGGCGAGGCAGCCCCCAGTCCCAGTCCACCCCCTTCTCTCCCCATCCGAAGCTTTGTTCTGCTTTGCAGTACATGCATGTGGCGACCCAGCCTACGCAGCCAAGCTCTGTCACACCCCCACATGCCCTCGGGCCACCCGTCAGACTGAGGGTGTATATATTGGTGGTTTGTCCCCTTTGGCCTCTAGCCCAGGTCTGAGGGGGTACTGTTCTGGAGTTCACAGACAGGCAGGAGAGACAGACTGGTAAAGCAAGCAAGTGCAATATGGTCAGATGCCCACTGCCCCAGGTCTGAGAAGGGGGCGGGTGTATAACCAGTAGGTACAAGTGACACTGGGGCACAAAAGTAGGAGTTGTCAATGTTGGAGATAGGTTGGGGAGGGGAAGACTTTACCAAGGACATGACACAGTGTGTTCATGGAACTGCAAGTAGTTTGGCAAGACTGAGGTGTCAGGTGTAGGAGCCGAGCGTGGGCAAGCGAGGGTAGCAGGAGATGAGGTGGGCGAGGCAGGTGGGAGAGGAAACAAGAGGGCGAGATAACATGCTGCTGTAGAGTCTGGACTTGAGACTGGGGAATCAGGGAGCTGGGTGTAAGTTAGAGGATGACATTTTAGAAATTCCACTGTCGTAGCAGTGTGGAGGATGGCTTAAGGGAGCAGGAACTACAGGCAGGGAGAAGCAATTAGAAGGCTACTGCCCTGTTCTAGGTCTGAACTAGGAAACAAGCAGTGAGGCTGAAAGAGGAGAATGGTTGGAGGATGGTGCCATCAACCAGGAACCAGGGTAAGATAATGAATTCAACGGAGGACACTATTCAGTACAGCACACACCAGACCAGGTGGACAGAAAGAGCCATAAACAAAATAACTTGCGATATAATCCAACTCAATAGTGCAATGACAGAGCCTGGGAGGACAAGGTGTGGAGGTCATGACTAGAAATTGGGAGGAGGCTTCCCAAGGAAGTGACGTCTGAGCTGAGTTTGAAGGCTAAAGAACTCCAATGATAGGCAGGAAAAACACTCCAGGTAGAGCTCACAGCATGGGCAAAAGTAGGGAGGCATGTGCGCTGGAAACTGTGAGAACTTAAAATGCCACAGGAGGACAAAGTTTCAGAGATGGGTGGGTATTGATGGGAGATGAGACTGGAGAAGTAGGCAGAGAGCACATAAGGATCAGAATGATGCGTTGGTGACAAGAAGCCAGTGGAAGGTTTAAACCAGGGAAAAGATATACTCAGTCATTCTTAGGACAGTGTGGCTAAGATTTGGGGGGGGGATGGGCTTGGGCTGCAAGAAACAGAGCCTAGAGGCAGAGAGGCGAGTTCTGATGCTGCTGAATAGTCTAATGAGATAATGAGGGCATGGGGGTGAAGAGTTAAGCAAGTATTTCAGAATGACTCCTGGTTTTCTGGCATAGGGAATCGTGGAGCAAACACCTAAGACATGGGACACAAGAGGTAGATTGGGGATAAAGGATAGATAGGAAAGATAATGAATTCTATCTTAGACACTTTGAGTTTTGTAATATAGAAGGACACGTAGCAGAGATGTCTCTTAGGAGGTAAATGATATTCTTGAAGGCAGGGCCACTGGAACAGTGGGGGTGGAAGCCAGGCCACAGCGGAGAGGGGAGTGGACAAGCAGTAAAGAAGATTCAAGATTAAATATTCTTTCAAGAAGCATGGCGGAAAATTCTGGAAATGAGAGGGAACAAAGTAACTAAAAGAGAATGCAGGGTGGTCAAGGAGATAATTTTTTAGGATGGAATACTTCAGCATATTTAAACACAGAGAGAAAATCTAGTACTAGAAGGAAAGGTTAAAAATACAAGTGAGGGAAGGATAAGCAGTAGGGAGGACTCAGAAAGGCCAGTAGGGACAAAGGCCAGAAAATGGGTAAGTGGTCAGCCTTGAAAAAGAGAGCCAACTGTGTGTGTATCTGAGACAAGGAGAAAAGGATGGAGAGGGGAATGAGGGGCAGGAGGAAGCAAGCATTCATCCTAACGACCTCCTTTCTCTTGGTAAAAGTAGGACTCGGAAAACTAGAGGTTTGCAAGGAAATGGGGAAGTAGGAAAGGTGCTCAGTTTGATGGGTGAGGAAGATGGATAATTTTGGTTAAAGAAAAACTGAATGGGATATCTTGTCTTTCAGATGGCTGGCTGTATGGAACTGGTGATAGGGTTAAAACTCAAGGACTAGAAAAATAAATTTGAGAACCCAGAGCGGCTTGTGGTGACAGCAGAAGGGCTCCCTGACTGACAGAAGAAAGACCCGTGGGTGAGGAGGTGGTACCGAAGGAGAGGAAAGGCGGGCAGAGGGCAGTAAACAGGGTCCGGTAGCATCGAACCAGGATCCAGGGAAAAAAGAAAGTGGCCAGTGTGAACAAGGTCATTACCTCATACCCATTGCCACTGAGTCAATTCCAACTCCTAGCAACCCTACAGGACAGAGTAGAAATGCCCCATAGGGTTTCCAAAGAGTGGCTGGTAGATCTGAACTGCTGACCTTTTGGTTAGCAGCCGAACGCTTAACCACTGTGCCACTAGGGCTCCGAACAAGGTCATTAGCACATTCAAAATAACAGTTTCTCTCCAGGTTAGAGAAATAAAGGTGGCACTTTCCAAATATAGTTACCACCTATTGGAGTCATATATTGGATGTGCTATAAGGCAGGTAATGTTCCCCCCAGTTCCTGTCTTGCTCAGAGTCAAATCCAAGCTCCTCACCAGCCAGGGCTGTGAGGTTGATGTCACCTGGCCTCAGCCACTTATCTGACCACAGATCTGATGGCTTTCACCCTTGTTCACTCCACCAGCCCATTGCTCTCCAGGCACACTGCTGCCTCAGGGTCTTTGCACCTGCCTGGAACCCTCTGCCCCTTAATTTCATTCTGGGTTTGGTCGCATATCACCTTATCAGAAAGGCCTTCCCCAGGCCTGATCACTGCCTATCTCCTTACTTTGCTTTCTTCTTCTTCTTTGCACGTACCAACACATGGCATATGTTGTATTTATTTGCTTACTTGTTTTTGCCTGTCTCTTCTCACTACAGCATCAGCTCCTTGAGCCAAAACTGGTTCCTGAAGAAAATCTTGGTCCTCTCTGTGGTTTGTCCTGCTCCCGCAGGTGGGACAATCATCTATCCAGGCATGTATCCTGGCAGGCTCTCTGACTTTCTAAAGAGAAAGTCAACCCTAATCTCAGCTCAGTGGACTGTTAATTGCATGAGGTTTATATTTAACCAGCCAAAAGGAATGTCTGCACCCCAGGTACTCAGCAGGGAGTGCCCTGCTGTTAATTACTTATTGAATGTTTTGTGGAGGGAAGTAATATTTAAGGATCGCCTAAGAAAGGCCTGGCGATCTGCTTCTAAAAGATTACAGCTAAGAAAATCTTATGGGACACAGTTCTACTCTGTGACACATGGGGTCACTGTGAGTCAGAATCGATGGCAACAGTTTTGGTTTTGGTTAAAGGATACTTAGTTCACCACAGAGCCTCTGAAACGGATGCTTGTACTAAGCCAGGGCATCCAAAGAGCCCACTTTCAAACCACATTACTTTGGTCCCTGGAAGCCTTGCTGTTTCTGAATTTGCTTTGATTCTAAGCCGTGGGACTGCACTGAGGGACGCTCAGTGATAAACAGCCTCAAGAAGCTTACTCGGCGCCCTATCAGGACACTGCCCATTAAGTCCCAAGGGGTCTTCTCTGTGACAATCTGTGGGAGAGAGTTCTTCCAGCCAGTCACAGCACCAGGGAGGAGCTAGCTATGCCTCGCCGCAGAAAAGCTGATCTCACTGACTGCGTCCCTCTTGGGGTTGTCTGTTGATGTATGAGCTCTATTCTCTCTTTCCTGTCCTTATTTTCCCTTAGTCCCAATGTCCTCACTAACTTAGTTTTTAATCTTTAGTACTATATGCATTTTTATAAGCCGTCTAGAATCTCTAACAGAGTAAAATTGAGTATTACTACATGCACTAAATAATCAATTAATTAATGGTTTTGTAGAAACTCTCTTAATTTACTTCCATGTAACCAAGTGGCCAGATTCACTGATGCTGTCCTCCTCTGGCAAACACACCAACCAATGCCCACGGCCTGCTAAATGCGTGGGGCTGGGGGCTTACCTCTAGAACACCTGCGGGCTTCTGCTTCTAAACCAGTTGGGTTGTGTGTTTACCAAAAGCCAGTTGTGTTATTCTCTAATATATTTATGGCAGCTTTCTTGTTATTGCAACTATGCTACTTAATTACTTTAAACCAATGAAATATGAGTACAAAAAGAAAGCTCTTGCTTTCTTGAAAATCACACTGACTTTCAATGGATACATAACAAGGTAAGTTTCTTAGAGTTCTATGACAAAGTAGTAAGGCTCTCCTCTCGGGAAAGCCTTCAGGACAGTCTCTGAGACGGGAACAGAGAGGTGTTACTTACTTGCCACCTCCGACATCACAGGATCGAGTGCGCCCTGGCAGGGACTGTATCTGAGGAGAGACACAGAAAAGCTGGGCTTAGGCACTGTGAAACCAAATGAAAGTTTTTAAAAAATGTCTTGGGGCTCCAGTCAGCACAAGTGAGGGCCAGCATATATAAACAGCATCCCCACATGATAGACATTTAAGTTTTGACTAGATGTTTAAAACTCCTAAACTTCCAGGCATAAGGGAGGCATAACATTAATACATTTTCTTAATCTATCTTCTATGTGAATATTATTTCCTTCCAAAAAGTCAATGTTTCACATATAGAGCTTTTAAACAAACATTCCTTTCCTGACTGGGAAGAAGAGGAAAATGAGAAGAAGACTCAACTCAAAGGAGGTCTGAGAAGAAAGGGAAATAGAGAAACCAAACAGGGTGAAGGGAGGAAATGAATGTCACTGGCCTAACTCCTCTGCCAGAAATGACTTATACAGTACTAGAAATCCACAGAACCAAGGAAGATGAGCACCTCTTTCCAGAGAGAGCATCCCTGATACTACAGGGAACAGCAGGGGCCACCACGGTCTCTGATAGAGAGGACGCAGCATCATGAGAAAGACTCCAAAACCACTGGTGCCCCTCACACCCAAAACGAAGCAGCGGCGTGGCTGCTTCTCCTATATGACTTAAATCTCTGAATTTTAAACCATATCTCCCCCCCACCCAAAGATTAAACATCAACTACATCTTAATTTACAAAAAAAACTTCTAAAGACCACCCTAATGCTAATGATGACTTAGGTAGATTTGGCAGAAGAAAATGGGACTGGACCAAAGGGATGCAAAATGGTCAGGCCGGTGAAGTAAAGACATAATGCAAGCAATTGCAAGGGAGCCTCCTTCGGGGCTGGAACTGGCTAACTGTTTTCTTTCAGAGTCAACAGGTTTCCATGTGGGAAGAAAGGCCAAGTCAAGTGCGGTACCTCTCTCTCTCCTACACTGCGTGAGGTTTACAGAGAGGGCTAACACAATTTTAGATACAAATACTCCAAGGTTCATGGAAATTATAATAAACCAGATGATTTTTAGTGGCCACAAGCTCTGGTATGATTGTCACAACTGTACCATCCTAGCCCCACACGAGATGGCCTTGTTCCCCAAGGATAACACTCCCAGAAGACTCAGTCAAATGCTCTTGATTAAAGAAAGGGGTATCTTGTGAATTAGCAATTCTGGACAGAAGCTGGTGACTGGTAGAAGGTGTTGGCTACAAAACAGAAAAATCTGCCTATGGTTTGTAAGCAGGTTTCAGTGTTTAATAGTATGGATAAGATATGGGGAACTAACAGGTTTTTCTGAATGGGTAAACTCATAAGAATTAGGAAGTCAAGAGAACATTTTACTATTGAGCCACACAACTGCTGATAATTTTTTTTTGGAAACATCTGTCCCTGCTATATTATTCCCATCTCTGCCCCAGGACAAGTCCTCGCTGCCTTTTTGTCCAATTCCTCTTGTTTTCTCCTCTGCAGGATTTCCAATGACCTCTGAAGTGCAAACATTCAGTGACAACACATTTGGCTGAGAACTGCTCACCCACCTCCTTGGTCTCCCACAGCTGTTTTGGCAGCAGCTTGGGAACATTTAACAGAGTCTCTTCTTTCAATGGGCCAGGGAAAGATACCACTAAAGTGGGGGAGAAAGCACATTCATTGCATTAGAAGGCAGCCATTCCATCTTTGGCCAAACAAATTATCTTTGTAAAAACTGATTTATGTAACAAATATTTATTGACTGTCCACGAGGGAAGGCATTTTGAGCATCACTGTGGGGGCTGCAGACATGAGTGAGACATGGATTTAGCCCTTAAGGAATTTGTAATCTGGTCTGGAGATAAGGGCACCACATAAATAATCATGACAGAAAAAAGAAACCAGTGGAAGCCCAAGAGAGCTAAGGATACAGCACTGTTGAAAGGCAGAGAAAGAGGAGATCAAGGAAGGGCTCTGGAGCTGTGCACTGAGAATAGCCCTTCAGAGACACAGGAAAAGGGTATTCCAAGAGAGGGAAAAATAAGAAAAAAAGGCCAAGAGAGGGAAAGGAAAGGGTGGGTAACTACTGGATAGCTCCCTTCAACTGGAAAGCAGAATAAGTTAAGGGGACTGGTGGGAAATAAAGTTTGGAAGGTAGAGGCCAGATTAGGGAGGGCCCGGCAAACCTAGCAAAAGAGAGAATGGAGGAAAAGGGATGAGGAGAGACCCACAATAATCTAGGAAAGACGAAATGAGAAAAATTAACAAATGGAAAAGAGGAGTACTATATGGTAATGATCTGAGAGTAGGGGATAAAGAGGAATCAAAGATAACTGAGAGGATTTGAGCCTGAGCAGCTTGAAGGGGCAGCTATTGGCTCTTCGAAGCTATAAAACAATCTAGCTCTGTGTGAGGGGACTATTCCAGGGCTTTCTGCTTTAACATTTAGACATGCCAGGTAAAATAGAGCGCTCGGCCATAAAACAAGTGAAAACTTTTGTTTTCAGAGAGAGACCAGGAGACAAGGGCCAGTCCTCAGGAATTCAGTGATGTGACATCAGGAGAGGAGCCCATGTTAGAGACACTAGGGAAAGCTCAGAACGATGAACGCTGTTAAGGTTTAGTGGCCACAAGCTCTGGTATGACTGTCACAACTGTCCCGTCCTAGCTCCACACAGGATGGCTTTGTTACCCAAGGATAACAGACTCCAGAAAGAAGTTACTTAAAATGGGGCCAACATTACAGAGTAAATTCTGAGAAGGTTTAAAAAAACGAAAACAAAAGTTCTAAAGTGGATTTTGTTTTACTTATATTTAATACAACATAGGATATAATTGCAATGGTGGACTCTTGGAATGAGTTAAGTATTGATGGGGCGTACACTTTTCCTGACAACACTGTAAAGAGCATGAGACAATGTTCTTCGAAGTTAACCTTCCCCACATCACCATAACAATCATCACTTCTGCTAGAATATTCCAAGCTTTATCAGTTTTTCTAGGATCTCTCTTAATCCTGATGTTCAAATTACTCTTTTGAAGAGCTTTTTTTGTCAACATCCTTGTTGATTTTATTTTCTTCAAATGCTACCTGGTCTAATTATTAATATAAATTGCTTCAGGAATGTAAGCTCCAAGAAGGTGGGCCTTTGTTTTGTTCATTGCTGGGGAGTCCCTGGGTGGTGCAAAATGTTAATGTTCCACTGCTGGCCAAAAGGTTGGAGGTTTGAGTTCACCCAGAGGTGCCTCAGAAGAAAAGCCTGGCGATCTACTTATGAAAAATCAGCTATCGAAAACCTTATGGAGCACAGTTCTACTCTGACACACGTGGGGTCGCCATGAGTTGGAGTTGACTTGATGGCAACCAGAAAACAGGGGTGCTTAAAACAGTCAAACACTGGCCCTAAGAAAGACTCTCAACAAACTGAAGGACAGGAGTAATAGACTTTGAGAGCCTTGGTAAATCAATACAATGGGAGACTCAAGAATAAAAAATTGCTCTGAAAGGTACGGCTGGGTGCTAGGAAAAGTTTCAAGGGCTGAGTGAGGAGGCTTCACAACTCAAGGCTACTTCTCATATGAGGCTGGTTACATGCATGCAGTTGGGGCAGACTCCAATGCCTTAAAGGGGATTGTTTTCTAGAGACAGTCATTGTTTTAAGTCTCTTTTCATATCCAAGAGTTGTTGGGAATTTTTCAAAGAACTCATTGGGGAAATACAAACAACCTTGAAACCATTTATTTTATTTTTGTCCTGATGGATTAGATGTTTAAACTTTTCATGATTTCATTCATGGCCTAAAGTGGCTTGCCCAGAAAAGGAGTAGGTAGGACAATGATAGGGAATTATGCCTCTAATGCAGGATGCTCTCATGTATTATATTTCTCATGAGTCCTTATCTTGCAACATATAAACCTAATTTAGTTGTTCATTTATTTTCAGATTATGAAAATTAAATTTCAAATTATAAAAAATTTAGGAAAAAGAAAACAGTGCCTGGTACTGAATGAATAAATGAACTGTGTCAGATTCTCATTTGTCAATGGCTTTCAGTGTCACTTCAGCAAATCTCCAGCATTACTATAATTGGTTTTATGAAACTCGGCATCTTTTGCAAGATTTGCAACTTCATTTTACAATGAATTTGCATTTTCCTTGCAGTGTTTATTTACAACATCTGTCAATTTTTGACTTATATAAACTTTCTAGATAGGCAGAGACAGACATTAAAGCTAAGAAGGAAGGATGTTTGAATAACTAATTGTTTAAGTGATCAGTTCATTAATATTTTCTTGTGATTACAACTTTTGCTTCCCCCTAGCCTTGTGACTGTGTGACTGTCGGGATCTGGATAACACTGAACTTTAGTAAACTAATTACAGATTTTAATTCTTGTGGCTTTATCATGCTTGGCCTTAATTTCATAGAACACCTCAGAAAAGTAAGCCAACTGGCAGTTGTCAGCATTTTGAGACATCCTGAAAACATGAGTCTTAATTAGTTATGATGTTGAAAAAAAGGTTAAGCTGAAACCTCAGTGTCCCACTGGAACACAGGCAGATAAAACTAGTCATACCTTCCCCATGTCCGTCATTCTCACCATCACAGAAACCTAGTGGGGAAGAAAAGAAACTCTTTTATGTGGTGCTTTCATTTGTATTTATTCACGAATTAGTAACTCTTTCTGATCTGAAATAGAATTTTGAGAATTCTAAACCATTTTTGGTGCATTGATGTTCATTCAAGGTGCCTTAATATTCATACTAATTAAAACACATATGACTACTTCGAGTCCTTTAAAACTGTCTCAGTCTGAAATTTCCTTAGTGCCTATGTCCTGAGAGAAGAATGATTTTTACAAAGCCTGAGAACCTCTATTCAAATCATAAAGTAAACAGATAGACTGAAACTCTCTTCCAAATGTTTCATCATAGGAGAAAAGGCAGATAACTCAAAAAATCTACAACCCTGCTTCAGACTTACCGTGAGCGTCTACAGGAACAAAGTGGAGGACCCATGCTATATGTAGTTTTCTATACAGTAAACAGTCGAGTTATTTTAAAAAGAAAATGTATCTGAAGTCTAAGTCAATTTAAAGGGCAGATGTGACAGCTATTCACAAAGTTTAAAAAATGTAACTTGGAATAAGTTCTGACTAAATAAAATATTTTAATCCATAAAATATACTACAGATGATAAAGTATAGTATTCTCTATTGTTCTAAGCTAAAGCCGAAGAATTGTACCAAGAATGTAATATATTATCGTTCTCCTTGGAGAAAATACACCAAATAACTTTTCAGTATAGAATCAGGACAAATTTTTAAGTTCTAAGTCTTTAAACATAGTTTACTTAAAGTTTAGACAAGTTTCAGGATAAGCTTAATCTATAGATTAACCTGATTAGTCTGTAAAACTTAAACGGAATGTCTAATAATCATCCATTCAACATGTATTTATTAAGTTCCTGCATTGAGTAATTGCTAGGTGCAGCTGGGTGATACGGTGTAGGTAAGAAGGTAGAACATGGAAGTAAACCCCCTAACACAGGTAGAACATGTAAAATTTCAGTGGAGCCCAGGGGCACGACAACACTGGGAGTCCCCAGGAACACTAAGACAAATTAAGAGGCTGACAAATTCAGCACACTCAGGAAGACAGAATTTCTCTCAGGTCCATATAAACAGAATCTAAGTTAGTGGTTCTTAAACTTTATTTTAGTGCACATAAAGGCCACTTGGGCAAAGTTTGTAAAATGTAGATTCTTGGGCCTAACCCTCAAAGAGTTTGATTCAGAAGGTGTACCAACGGGCCCAGGAATCTACATTTTTAATAAACACCTCAGGGAATTCTACAGCAGATAGTTCTTGGCCCGCTCGTTGAGAGACTTGGACTAGGTTGTAGCTTAATCCAACCTTTCTGTTAGCAGCTGAGTGTAAATGGTTTGCACCACCCAGGGACTTGATCAGTGACTTAACCCATCTAAAGAAAGGCAATGCTAACAGAAAAACATTAGAAAATGAGGTGTAGAGAGGAGAGGCGAGGCAAGGCTCCACATATAGCACTACCAGAAGGAGAGGAGATAAGCTTCTGATTCATGTTGTGGCTTCCCCAGGACCTTCGTATTGGCAAAGGGCAGGGAATTTGACCATTTCGATCACAAAAAAAGTGGTAATCCTTATGACAAATAAAAAACTAAGTTTTATACAGCAGTCTGGTATGGTATGTTGAAGTATTTTTTCATTATCAAGACACCAGTCACTCTGGCTTTAGTGAGTAAGGCCAGTTTCCAGGCCTGTAAGGCTGACCTGTCCCTTAAACATGGGGATTCATTTGAGGGCTGCCAGGTGAAGCTGCCTGAGTAACCAGCAGACACCCCATATGATACCCCAGTACTGCAACCTTCTCTATCCAGGCTTCACGGAGGAGGTGGCATCTGAGTTAGGCATGGAAGGATAACAATGAAGATAATGATAATACAATAGCCAGCATTACTGTTTGCTTACTAGCACCAGGCACTGTGCTAAGTGCTTTACACAGATGATCTCATTTAATCCTCACAGTAACTCCAAGGCAGGCAGTATTATCATCTCCAAGATCACACTGCTAGTAAGTTCCAGAACTACAACTCTAGCCTGTGTGTATTCAGAGCCCATGCCCCTGACCAACTTGCCCCTAACCTGGAGGGATTCAGATACTTGGAAGGGAGAATGAAGGAGATGCCCTGGTGCAAAGACAGGAGGAGGAAGAGGAAGAAGGTGTGTACAGCAGGGGCAGGGAATGGTGCACAAGATGGGTGAGGGAGAAAGGGGAGATAAGGCTGGACTGGAGGAGTCTGCCTATCATTTGGCATGATGTGGGGGAATGGAAAGTTTTGGCTAGAGAAGTGACACGATTAGAGCTAAGCTTTAGAGAAACTGTTCTTGCAGCAGAAAACGAGATAGATTGAAAGAAGAGAACCAGATCTGGTAAAAAAAACCAATACAGTAGTGTATGTGAGAAGGAAAGAAGTAGGATATCAACAGTGAGTGGAAAAGAAGGGGCAGATCTGAGACACACTGCAGGGACTGAATGGACAGGACAATGAATGTGAGGAGTGAGGGATGGATGTAATTAAATACAACTCCCAGGTTTCGAGTCTGGGTGACCAGGCGGATGGCGGTGGCAATAACAGATATGTTAGCACTAAGCGATAAGTTAACATATAACTGAAATATCCAAGGCTGGATATTTACTACCAGCTAAAAAATATTATAGGATACAATTATAAATAAAGGGTTAAAAATGAAAAAGGAATGAGTCGTGATTGGATATCTGAAAACATACACTACCAGAGATTAGTCCCTGCATCTGTATTCCAGGAAACCTCACAGCTGCTGAACCACTGGGGTTGACCTCTCCTAGTAAGCGTAACTGAGGCCATGCTCCCTCTATGCGCTCCCAGGTCTGATGAATCCAAAATAACTCCTAGCACAGTCTTCATCTGCTGAGTAGAGGGGAAGGCAAGTGGTAGAGAGCTTAACCAGAGTGTGTCCTAAAAGAAGCCTCTGGTTTTCAGCCTCCTCATTCTGGGCCCTTCTGCCATCTGGGTGACACTCTTTTTGCTCCTCGTTAGACATGGGGTGCTGTGCCCCCACCCCCTCTCTGGCTCTCCTATCACTGTGATCAAGTGTCATTTAACAGGCTTACTACTTTCAGGGTTATTTGACATTATTCTCCTTAACTATATAAGTGAACGTGTACTGCCTGTTGAAAAGTCACTGAGGTCCAAGACATGTCCTGTTCCCAGAGGAGGAGCTGAGGACTGTGGTCTCCAAAGACGGCGACACTCAGCATCTATGGCTCTGTGTGCCCACGTGCATGTGTGTGTGAAATGATAATGAAGCTGCACATGCTGCCAAGGAAATGATCAACATTTATCTCTCTAGATGCTGGATAATTAAAACATGATAAAAATCTTGTTTGTTGTATAAAAGTTTATTTCTGTCGTTTACAGCAACTGCTTAGCATTTATACCTAATTGCCATGCAACCCAAAAACCATTATGAAAATTATAAAACATGTATCAGACCAACGGCACTATTTTCTTGGGACACAAAGCTCTACTCATGAATGTATCATAGTTTATTGCTTGTGTAGTTAAGCTATGAGAAAATGCTCCACAAGCATCTGCTTACAACCAAAGGGGAAAAAAAACAGCAGGAACATTAATTGAAGCTCCATTTACTATGCTCAGGAAAGATTCCCAGGGAAAGAACAGTTACTACTGCTTCTACTATAGAGCCTAATTCTAGGCTTCAATTACATTCTCCCATCACTTTTTTAATCTTTACTTTATTTGGTTGGTCCTATAATACGAAATAACTTTTTGCAAAGCTAGTTAGATATTTTTAAAATCCAAAAGGAAAGAAAATGAAAAACTTTAAATGAGTTACAGGGGAAAAATACATGAAACTATTCAAAATAGCTCCCACCAACAAATATAATTCTCCAGAAATAATTCCTATCCTTGGAGACTTGAATAATATTTTAAACACAACTGGCTTTCCCATGTAAACACGTCCATATTTGGATGTGTTTCTGAGTTCTGCTATACTTGCAGGGCCATGGTGCAGAAGCAGGCCCACAGTTCACCCATTCAAGCTGGAGGTCATCCCACCTTCCATGGTTGTCAGATATTGTGGCCCAACATTTTTAACTGCTGATTTTAAAAGGAGAGACCACCACAATTCTCAACTCAGGAGTCCTGCTCTAGCTACTTTGTGACTGCTCGGTGTACCTGGATCAGCACTTATATTCTTTAGCCTTTCTTATTCATCCTCGCTTATACCTTCTGACATTTCTCACCTCTTTCCTGAGTCTACCTCACTCTTAGCATGCTGTTGTTAGCTGCCATCTAGTCGACTCTGACTCATACTTCCACTTCGGTTAATCACTTTCTTCACTCTTTGCATCCAAGCCTCAAAAACTGCTTACTTAAATTACCTATGATTCTTTTGTTTTCTCTAGGCTGCTGACCCTTTCTAGAGACATCTAAACTTTGCACAGAAGGCAATGCAAAGGAAGGAATGGCAGAGGCGAAATGCGGCTCTTCACTTGGGGCTCTGGGGTCAAATCTATCAATCTGGTTCCCTTCCAGTCCAGGAAGACTAAGATTTTGCTGCACTCATGGGCACCCCCACTGATTACAGTCTCTGGTTTTCTTAGCTTTGGTTATTACTCCCATATCTACCTATCCTAAAGCTAAACTGCATCTTCCCATATATTCCAGTGCTCTTCTCTAAACAGTGAACAGTGGACTCACATCCAATTCCAACATTACCAAGCCAACTACACTTTCATATTTCCATGTGTGGAAACATGGCAAGATGTCCCTGACCAATCCTGAAAGCTCATACTTTAGAAGCAAGCCATCGTTTAGGAAATGTAGTCATCTCTGAATCGCACCAAGGGAACAAATATAGTCAACAATTATTATTAAATCCCTATGCTATGCAAGGAAATAAGACCATGAATGTTCTCCTTGGAACAAACAGAGACTAGGCTTTAAGTAGTCTAAAAATAAAGAAAACCAAAGGGCTGGTATTATCTCAGCCAAAGATGTATTTATTCCCCTATTTCAAGACCAACACATAGCCCTAAAAGTTTGTGGACAAGGGTCTGTCTGCATTTGAAACGGATAATTCAAGACCATTGTTTCTTCTAGATGATAAACTCTGAAAGGCAGGCTTGGGATTTGTCTTGAATGAACTGGCCTCATTTCAGGTACAGGTTAGATGTTAGCACCTAGAGTGTGTTTTAGCACGTGCTGTGTACTCATGAGCCAATGTTTAATTTCACCACACTTCTCCATCATGGAGGGCTCTCCTGTGCCAGACACCGTGCTAGATACTGGAGATAATGAGACTGCTAAGATGCTCTCTGCAAGAAACCTACAGCCAATCAGAAGGAGAGAAGCATGCCTATGTAAAAAGGCAGCCAAGTGCCACAGGTACTAAGGCAGCCGTCTGTAAGTAGGAGCTTCGGGCTAGAAGAAGGACATGGGTAATTATGGGCTGGGAGAGGGTAGTTTTGGGCTGGCAGGGGAAGGAAGGTCAAGGATGGCTTCACAGAAATGGTGACACAAGCTGAGGCTTACAGACTGAGGGAGTGCTGGTCAGGTAGGCCAGGAGAGAGTTAAGAGAGGAAGAGATGGGAACAGGATGAAACATCACGTGGCTGACTTGGGGAGTGAGGCTGGTGAGTGGATGGACAGAACAGGGAGGGAGGTGGGCAGGGCCAAATCCTGGAGCTCTGTGACATTCCAAACTGAAGGATTTGGACTTTCTCCTTGAGGTTAGGGGGTGACACAAAGGGTTGTGAGCAGGACAGTAACATGGTCAGATGTGGGTTCTGAGAAACAGAATGGCGTGAGTATGCCACTTCCCCACTCCTAGTCATTTGGTTACTCCTGGCCTCTTGCTACCCCTTTTCTCACTCTGCCCCAAGGGACCAGTAAAATGGGAAAGAACAACTGAGCAGGTGATGCTCAACTCTAGTTCAGCTCCCTCTTCTGCTCAGGCCCGTGCCTACCCTCAGAGGCTATGCCTTCTCCTCTGCTCTTCCTTGCCCTTCAATCTTAGCTGAGTCTTCCTTCCATGGGGAAGGTCTACCTGGGCCAGTGCTGCCGGCCACTGAAGGAGTCTGCCTCATTCTGGGGTTCAGTCGTAATCAGCCCACAGCCCCGCGGACAGAAGTCACTTCCACCAACTTGGTGTTGTCAGTAATAAAGGTGGTATCTAGTCCCATCTGCCACTTCTGGTTTTATTTCTCAGTTTGTTCAGATCCTAGTTAGGAAAAGGGGACCCCCAGAGAACCCAACATACAATTGGGCTGGAGGGATATAAGACTGGAAGTAAGGAGACCCAGTAGGAAGTTACTGTTAACAGTCCATGCAAAAGATGATGAGGGCCTACAAAAGGAAAATGTGGTGAGGAGGAGAGGAAGCTTGAGGGCCAGAGATGCCAACAAGGTAGACCTAACAGTGGAAGAAGCAGGGCAGAGTACACAACACCATGAGCTCCATTCTAATTTCATCATGAATACCAAACATTTCCTGTCACGAGCTTTTTCTCTGAAGACTACCAAATCAGGGAAGTGCATACACCATTCAAGCTTTCTTCTCCTCCAGTTCCTGTTGGACAGAATGAGAAAGCACAGATGCTGTTAGCAGTGGGCCTGTGTGTCTTACCCATGTATGGGGCAGGCCAGGCTGACTGGCTCCCTCCTCCATAGGGGTCCTGGGGCTTGGTGCTCAGAGCACTTGTGTGAAGAGCAGAATCAGAATTGGTCCTAAGGAAGGGAGGAGAGAGGCTGTCTGAAAATCCATATTTCCTTAGTTAAAATGACATACTCTTTGCTGAATATTAGCAACAGGAGAGAAGACAAGAAAAACTGATTTACAATCATCCACAAAATGAGGGGTTTAGACCGACCTGAAGTCCCTTAAATGAATAACAGCCTCTGAGGAACACCCACCCCAACAGGCTTTATAATTTGTACTCTATGACCTTATGCTTTGTGACTAATGGCATAACGATCTACTTCAACAAGGCGGGCCTCAGATTCATGGCTGCCCTCTAAAGACCTTCCTACGCTTCCTTGCAACTCAGAAGATCATGGTGACCATTATCATTTTCTGTGGCTGCACTAGGCTTTCTCCATCTGAGAAGACCTGTTCCTATGTGAAGGATCACCTATAGCAATGGTTCTCAAACCCTTTCAGGGGGAACGCAAGGTCAAGACTATTTTTCAACGTAACTGTTGCTATTGTTGGGTGTCAAGTCGGTTCTGACTCATAGCAACCTTACAGGACAGAGCAGAACTGCCCCATAGGGTTTCCAAGGAGTGGCTGGTAGATTTGAACTACCAACCTTTTGGTTAGCAGCCAAGCTCTTAACCACTCAGCCCACATGATACTAAGATGTTATTTGCCTTTTCACTCTCATTCTCTCGAGTGTACAGTGGAGTTTTCCACCAGCAATAAGATGTGTGATATCACCACAGACTGAATACATAAGCAGAGAATCAAGCTGCCTTAAAGAGATTTGTAAAATACAGTGCCACTCTTCTCAGTAAATTTTTTTTTTGGAAAATATAATTGTTTCTTAAAAATGTATATTATTGATGTTAACATGTAGTAGGTTTATTATTGTTACTTTTAAATGCATTACTAAGTATATTTTTAACTCTCTCAATTTAATTTCTAATATCTATAGATAAATATTGATAAATACACCCACATAAACAAAAGGTCTTTGAGGGCCTCAGTGTTTTTTTAAGAGGGTAAAGAGGTCCTAAGACAAAAAGTATGGGAACTGCTTGGATTGGAGGGATATAAGACTAAGAACAGCAGACTAGTTAAGAAGTTATTATAACTTCCTATATTAGAATACAGCCCCAGTGGCACAGTGGTTAAGAGCTAGGCTGCTAACCAAAAGGTCAGCAGTTCAAATCTACCAGCTGCTCCTTGGAAACCTGATGGGGCAGTCCTACTCTGTCCTATAGGGTCGCTATGAATTGCAATCGACTCGACGGCAACAGGGTATAATAGCAAATTTCTGAAATTCTCCCAGACAGTGTATCCAATTTATACACAGCCTTTGCTCCAAGGAATGATTTACTTATCTCAGTCAAGGGTCAAACTTTCTGCCATAAACAGGACTTGTGAGCAACTCGATAAGTTCAAATCAGCCTAAAATGCCTCTTTGTGGTCCATTCCAGGTGCCAGCCTCGTGTGGTATGAAGCCATGAGGCCTGACTGCACCATGGCTGTGTTGCATTCAGAGAGAAGTAGCAGTTCAGACCCCTGGGATGCAAGAGAAAGATTATGGACTCTGGGGTCAGAGAGACCTGGGTTCAGATTCCTGTTCCTTTACTGCTTCAAAGAGACTCAAGGGACTATCAATCAAATGCAGAGAGACAACTGGGAAAACCTAATTATAGACTGGGTATTAGATAATATTAAGGAATTATTGTTAATTTTGTTAAGGATAACGATGGCATGATAGTTTTTTTTTTTTTAAAGGACTCTTATGGGCCTTATACTGTTGAAATACTTATACAGGTGAAATACTATATCTAGTCGGTTTTAGGATGGGAGTGGGCAATGGGATGTTGATAAGGGACATTGATAAGGACTAAGCTGAGGGATGTAGTGTATGTTTGAAATTGTCTACTATTAAAAGTCTGTTTTTTTAATTCCAGTTTCATCATATATTAAGTAAGTGTCCTTGGGCAAGTCACTTAACCTCTTAGAACAGAACATAATACCCATACTTGTAGGGTGTTGTCAGGATTGAAAAAAAGAACATATGTAAAACACTACTGGAGTCAGGCTCTAAGTGATCATAATGATAGCTAACATTTACTGAACACTTACCCTTCCCGTGTATTATTTAATGCTCATAACCATCCCATGACAAAGGTACTATTATCTCCATTTTTCAGATGAGTAAACTGAAGCATACAGAAGTTAAATAACTTGCTCAAGGTCACAGAGTAAGAGGCAAATCCTGGTAGTCCCACTCCAGATCTCACTTCTTACACTGTTATGCTGCCCCCTTAAACATTCAGTAAATGCTAAGGGATTTTTTTTTTAACATTTCACATAAACACAACTGACATAAACATGCTCTGGCTATCACACGATAATATGTTAAGAATATCAAGTCAATCAAATTGATTGGCCTTCTCCTTTAACATCTATTTCTACCAGGAAACAGCCCACGTACCTGTTAAGTGCAGATGTTAGCCTGAATCCAGGATGCTTTTCTTCTTTCCAAGGAGGCTGCTGCCTTTAAAAACCAGCACAACATGAAATAAAAAGAATTCAATCCACAGGGAGCAAAGGAGAGCATCATCAGACCTGTGTTTGAAAACTGGCTCTTCTACTCACTCAGCTGTAAACCTGAGGAAAGTCACTTAAAAATGTTCCAGGCCTCGCTCATTTTGCTCATCATTGTTCAAAGGAGGTCAGGCTGAATGATCTCTCCAGTTGCTACCATCTCTGATTTCCATGATTAAATTACCACAAATTCATGAGTCTAGGATGAGCTTGATGAGCATTTTGTTGTTGTTGCGTGCCGTCAAATAGATTCTCTCAGTGACTGTCTATGACAGAGCAGAACTGCCCCATAGGATTTCCCCAGGCTATAGTCTTTACGGGAGCAGATCGCCAGGTCTTTTCTCCCACGGAGCTGCTGGTGGGTTCCAACCTCTGACCTTTTGGTTAGCAGCTGAGCGCTTAACCATTGCACCACCAGGGCTCCTTTTGCTGAGCGTATGAGCAGTTAAAAAAAAAAAAAGGCAAAGACTTTTGAAAGCCTTTGAAAGAGTTCAAATCTATGATTGACTCCTCTCTAGGAGATATGGGGCCTCACTCCAGACATGTAAGAAATTACCGCTTATCACACATCCTCAGTGTGGGTGTGAGTAGGGAGTGCCTAGGCAATCCTGGATGCAAAAATTTACATTCCCATATAGATGGCCATGAAGAGGAATTTGACTGTTACCTATTTTATGAAAATATAAGTCTGAATAATGCTAGTGCTCTGGAAAGCATAAGACATTTCTTCTTGGACACAAAAAAGGAGAATATCAGTTTGAGGATGCCCTTTCCTGATTTAAAATAAAATATTGTATTTATCTTACCGTCTTGCATTCCATATTAGTTCTTGAGGGGAGTTAAAGACCTTGAGGTAAAGGCCAGGTGTCATACATCTTTATATCCTTTCCTAGGTCCAGAATATATTATCCATAGTAGGTATTTACCCAGAGAATGGATAGGGAGTAGACCTCAACCCAGAGAGCTAAATTTTTTCAGTATCTACCTTTCAAATGCCTCCTAAATCTGACTTACCAACCACCGAACTTTTTGCTATCAAGTTGATTCCAACTCATAGCAACCCTATAGGACAGAGCAGAACTGCCCCGTAGGATTTCCAAGGCTGTAATCTTTACATAAGCAGACTGCCACGTCTTTCTCCCGCAGAGCAGCTGGTAGGTTCGAACAGCCGACCTTTCGGTTAGCAGCCAAGTGCTTAACCAGTGCTCCACCATGGCTCCTTAAATCTGACTTAGTGATCTGAAAATGATACTGCACCATGGTATCATTTCAAGCAGTCTGACTTAGCTAATTTTATACTCTGTCACTGTCTATATTGGGTAAAAAAATATTCAAAGAGACCCTAAATCAAATCTACTGCACAAATAACCATTTTAGTGGAGTCTTTTGTTCCTTTCAGTAGCTAATATACCCTGAGAAAAAGCATTTTATTTTTCCATGTCTCAAACACAAGAACATCAAACTAGAATACTCTGCTGGTAAATGTATTCCAAATATGTTTCTATTTGGTTTTAACTTTGAAGATCTAGATTTATTTAAATAACTTTTCATCTTTGACTTTCATATAAGCTTATACATGGAAAGATTTACATTTTATAAGATATAATATGCTTTATATTAGAAATTTCCAAAACAACATTCAAGATGGTTAAAATAGAAACCATCCAAAAGTAACACATGCCCATCATATCTTTTAAACAGTGGCTAGCTTACCTTGGCCAACTCTCATCCAGAGGCTGTGAGGAATAGTTGGCTCCAAAAGCACTACCATCGAAGTAGAATTTTTAATAAAGGAAAAATAAAATTAAAGGAAAGCTGAAACAGAATTATGAAGTTAGAATCGTGGAGAGTTAAACAACTTTTTGACTCCTATCTTTACCTCTACAGCCGGCAGCTCTTCTTCCATGCCTTCTCTTATCAACTTCCTCTAGGACGGTCTATTCCCCTGTCTTCTAACCAGTGTCATCTTTACATGATTCACATGGGGTGCTTTTTTTTTGCCTGCCCAGCAATTTCTGTTTCCAAAAACTGGCTCCCACTCCCATCCTAAACCTGGTAAGGCTGTCATTCTGTCCCACAGGATAGACCCAGGCTCAGAATTTTCCATCATTGTACCTCATCTCCCTGGAAACAGCGATCAGTTCAAGGAGGGTTCATGACCCATGCAGGACCAAGGAGAGTCCCATGGAAGGGGAAGAAAGGGAGTGTCCCCAGTTGAGGTGGTGAGCCTGAGGACCATGTGAGCCTGGAGTCCTCCTCTTGGAGGAAGCCTGTTTAAGCATGGTGTCAACACAAAGGAAAGTATCACTGAGATACTGAGTCTCAATGATATTGTATGAACCCCTGGGTCTAGCCCTCGGGCTTCCAGGGACATCAGCTAATACATTTCTTTTTTCCAGTTAAGGAGCGTGCATTATTGTCACTTACAACCAAAAGAGTACTACATTAGATTTGTGGAAAATTGTAACTTTCCTTGTGTCAGCAGGGGCTCTGTTTTATAAATTCTGTACCCTTTGCTGGGTCTAGCCTGCCTCAGAACATCTTCCAGATACACAGAGATACAAATGGGATGCTGCACTCTACATGCTGGGTGCAGCAGAGCTGTTTTGGTTTAGTTTTTAGTTTTCTTAAAACACTTTTTATCATGTTATTCTCCTGTTCAAAAATCTTCAATGATTCTCTTCTGCCCAAAAAGTCGAAGTCAAACTTTTTTGGCATGGCATTTAAGAGGCTCTGCAATTTGGCCACAATATACCCTTCTGCTCTTCTCTCCACTCTAGCTGACTGGGTTCCACAAATACGTATTGTATTTTCCTGTCTCTCTGCTTTTGCTAATGCCATTTCCCTTCCCTGCAGGTCTTGCTCCCCTATGCGGAGCACAGCCTACTTCAAGGCCCAGCTTACCTCCTTATCACCCTCTCCCAAGCCAATCCCATTCTTTTTTGCCTCCTGTATTACTGATTAGATGAAATAAAAATTTGGCAATTAGCAATAATACTTTTGATCCAAAACCTTTATTTCTTAAGGGAGAAATAATAAGATACAAGATACACAATAGGACATTAGACATATGAAAAATGGGTATCAAAGCACCTATTATGTGCCAAGCCTATGCTGAGCAGGTTCACACTCTCATTTAATCCTAACAATCCTGGGAGGTAGATGATACTAACCCCATTTTTACAGCTGAAGAAACTGAAGCTCAATTCTAGAAGAGCTGAGAAACCCAAGATTAGACAGCTGGCATGGCAAAGCAGGAGTCAAACCCACAGCTCATGGACTGCAATGCCTTTGAGTTGTCCACTACACTGCCTCTCAGGAAATAATGAAGTAACACCAAGTGCACTAGAAAATAGAAGATACGTATCTGAGAGTTTTCTGGGAAGAAGAAGGACAGAGGCTATAAAAGAAGGCATCATCTGCTTGGCCTCAGGAGGAAATGGGAGCCTTGGTGGAGGGGGAACCTCTCGTGCAGGCCTGGGTTGGGCTCTCAGATGAATACAGAACCTGGAATCAGTAAAATGTGGGCACTAATGAGCTCTTAATGATTTAGTGTGAAATGTTCCCTTTGTCAGGAGAAGCATTAAGATTACAAATTTCATTTTCTATTTATTTTCTCTGTCATGTATAGTTATTTTATTTCTTAATCTGAACCTGTGTCAATATAATAAAATAGAGATATTCTCAAAAGAGAGACGTTTCTTGAACATTAATTATTAGATGGAATGTATGTGAAGTACAGGTTAGGATATACCACACAGGAGACAGAAGAGGAAAAGATGATAAAGAAAAAAGAATACCCTCTGAGAGTTGAAGCATATCAGTATTTCAGCCGGCAAAGTTACTAGAGAGGAGGCTTTGAGCCTTGCCATCTGTGGTTATCTAACTTTCTCTTTTCTATAAGGTCCAGAAAAGCTTCACTCCATGAAGTAGCAGTTTACTACTTCTCTCAGTACACTGCTGTTATGGATTGAATTACGTTGTCCCCAAAAATGTGTGTCAACTTGGCTACTCCATGATTTCCAGTATTGTATGACTGTCCACCATTTTGTCATCTGATGTGATTTTCCTATGTGTTGTAAATCTTACCTCTATGACGTTAATGAGGTGGGATTAGCGGCAGTTATGCTAATGAGGCAGGACTCAAATCTACAAGATTACGTTATGTTTTAAGTCAATCTGTTTTGAGATATAAAAGAGAGAAGCAAGCAGAGAGACAAGGGGACTTCATACCACCAAGAAACAAGAGTCCTTTGGCCCTGCAGTTTCTGTGCTAAGAAGCTCCTCAACCAGGGAAGACTGATGACAGGGACATTCCCCCAGAGCCAACAGAGAGATAAAGCATTCCCCTGGAGCTGGCACCCTGAATTTGGACTTCTAGACTCCTAGACTGTGAGAGAATAAATTTCTCTTTGTTAAAGCCATCCACTTGTGGTATTTGTTATAGCAGCACTAGATAACTAAGACAAGTGCCGTCCTTTCATAAACGTTCATTAAGTCCAATTATATAGTACTCGTAAAACAAATTAGAATGCAGTGGTGTAATATGAACAATGATCAGATATTGATGATTTTAATGTTGAGGTATAAGCTAGCATTTTAACCTTTCTGATGTATATTAATAACATGAAAATGTAGGAAATTCTAGCAAACGTTAATATGATCTAGGCTGGGGCATCAAACCTGAAAAGATGTGACCTCTGAGCTCTCTGAATTCTCAGTGTCTCATCTAATTTACACATAAGGTCACCATGAATGGGAGCTGACTCAACAGCAATTAAAACTACAGCATCTAATTTAATGAGTATTTTAAAATCCAAGAGTAAGAGTAACTGGCACCAACAAAACCATGATTGCTTTAAGGTTACAAACAAACTCAACAGAAGGAAAACCTAGAAAAACGTTTGTTTTTTTTGGTTGCTGTTGTTCTTTTGAAGACTTCAAAAAACTTCATTCAGTTGGTTTTAATTACTCCACAACACTAATATGTCCTAAACAACAACCTAAAGACTGGGAAAACACCCTTATTTGTAAACTTGGATTTACCAATTTAATTCAACAAGCATTTTTGGAGTGCCTGCTGGTTGGCATCCTATACACATAAAAGAAGTACAGGATACAGGGTTTCTAGCAAGCCGGGCTAGCTCCTCCTACATTACCTCCCTTAGTCAGTTTGGAGCCCTGGTGGTGCAGTGGTTAAGCAGCTGGCTGCTAACCAAAAGGTCAGTGGTTCGAATCCACCAGCCGCTTCTTGGAAACACTATGGGGCAGTTCTACTCTGTCCTATAGGGTCACTATGAGTTGGAATCGACTCGATGGCAAAAGTTTTAGTCAGTTAAGCTTGGTTTTTGCTCAAGGAACATTCCTATGCTAGAAAAGAAGAGAAAATGAAAAAGATAAATGAAGAGGTTGCTGCAATGATGGAAATAAAAATTAAAGTTTAAAAAACATGCCTCTCCCCAAAAAGTATTGTGCCCAAAGACGAGCAAACAACAAAGAACACACAGTC